GCCAGATCGCAGTGCGCGCTACCGGGCCTCAACAGCAAGCGCCAGATCGCAGTGGGCACTGCCGGGTTACGACAGCAAGCGCCAGATCGCAGTGTGCGCTACCGGGCCTTGACAGCAAGCGCCAGATCGCAGTGGGCACTGCCGGGTTACAACAACAAGCGCCAGATCGCAGTGAGCTTCACCGGACCACAACAACAAGCGCCAGATCGCAGTGAGCTTCACGGGACCACAACAGCAAGCGCCAGATCGCAGTGAGCTTTACCGCACCTCACCAGCAAGCGCCAGATTGCAGTGGGCACTGCCGGGCCTCAACAACCACCATGACCACAGTGCCCAACAAACAACGCGAACACAACGCAACACAACCACAACCACACCCACAACCAACACAACCACGACCACAAACACACAACCCCAAGCACACAACCACAAACGCGCAACCAACAAAACACAACCACAAACACACAACCAACAACACACAACCCAGAATGATTGAGGGCCTTTGGTAACAAACTCATATAGCACGCCCAACAACCACCTTCATTTCACGACTTGACACATGTGCTGCCCGGCGCCTTGGCACCTTTGCAGCACTCGTAATCACACCTCTACAAATAGTTTTACTTTCATTTCATGAATTCACAAGCGCATTGACCGGTGCCTCGGCGCCTTGCAACACTCACAAGACACCCCGTAAAAACAACAGCGTTGCCTTCATTTCATGACTTGACAAGCGCCGGGCCCGGCGCCGCGGCGCCTTTGTTATCACAGTACCTCTAAAAGTTGCTTCGCATTCATGGCCACAGCCACAACCACCGCCACAACCACAACCACGACGACCAAAACAACACACAACACACTCAAGATATTGCGCGCTGACTCGATTGCAGTTTGCCACTCGCCAGCCTAAGTAAAAACCTAAGGGTCCAAGTAAGATATAAACCTCCAAAGCCCACGAACTCGAGAAACCGAAAGGGCCGTGACAGGATGAGGACTTTCGCTCGCAACTGCAGAATGCATCCGATGCAAAGGCTGGTAAACTTGTTGTAGGTACAACGGGGCCCAAAAGGAAATGAACGCTGACCACTGCAGGAACACAATGTGGCGTCCGAAGTGGCGTCCCCACATTGCTTCACCACTCCCGACATTGCTTCACCACGAACTGACAGCGTCTTCGTTGGGCAGTGTCTGTCAGTCGTGCACTGCCCCGCTGCGAAAAGGGAAAGAAGAACTTGCAGGTAAGACTTCAACGGAAACCCTCTGACTCCAAGGATTTCACACACTTAGATGGATGCTCGCAAGAGCTAGGATCAGAATGAAGTCCCACTTTACACGCATTAGACCTTGACTGAAAAAGAGAGCAAACAGAAAGGCGATGAGTCAGCAGATTTGATGTTTGAACACTGTTTTGTGGAACGCTCGATAGTGGGTAGCTAGACCTGATTAAAAATTGAGCAGGTACACATTCAGGCGTCCCTGAATGCATCCACCAGTCTTCCGTAGCTTCCTTGATGGAGAGGCAGGTACAGCGGCCCCCCCAAGGGTTCGTTGGGCAACGTAGGAAGACCGGTCGTTGCCCCCCTGCCTCTTTTTGCTCGCGCTGTTTTTGATTTTGGTTTGGTTCCTAGTAGCAAGGCCACGAGCCACTAGTAGCATCCAGCCTTCTAGTGAGATTTACGGCAGGCAAGGCAAACTTACTAGGCGCAAACCTTGACAACAGGTGCTAACACACACACACACACTTAGATGGTTGCTCGCAAGGGCTAGGATCAGAATGAAGCTCCACTTTACACGCATTAGACCTTGACTGAAAAAAGCGCAAAAGGAAAGGTGATGGGTCCGCGGGTTTGAAGGTGTTTTAACCATGTGTTTCAATCTAGACCAGATTAAAAATTGAGCAGGTACACATTCAGGTGTCCCTGAATGCTTCCACCAGTCTTCCGTAGCTTCGTTGGGCAACGTAGGAAGACTGGCCGTTGCCCCCCTGCCTTGTTGACACTCCTTTGAAACGGGTGTGGACACACACACCAGGCCGCTATCGGCGCTCAGGAAGTTTAGTAATCACCTAACAAGCCCTAGCAAGAAAAAGAAAAACAAGACAGAAAGAGAACAAAAGAGGGCAGGAGAGAAAGATAGGCGTAGTTACGAACCCCCTTAGTTACGAACCCCCTTAGTTACTGATTGCTTAGCCGCTCCCGCCTGTTTAAACACACACGAGGCCGATTTCGGCGCTCAGAAAATTTTTTAGTAGTCACCTAACAAGCCTTAGCAAAAAAAAGAAAAGACAGAAAGAGAAACCGAAGAGGGCAGGAAAGAAAGATAGGTGTAGTTACAAGGCCCACTAGTTATGAGGTCTGTTAGTTACAATACGTGCAGAAGCTAGCGAGCGGGACTTTAGTCTTATACCGCCCGGGTAGCTAGAAGTAGGACAGGAGAAATAGAAGGAAAGGCACCAACGCACAAGTGTGTTGAGTGCGATTTCCTTCTAAAACCCTAGATAGCGGGTGGGATAGCAACGGAGGCCAGGGGCAGGGAGGGGTGGCCCGAAGGCATTGTCATCAGTGACGTTCAAGTAAAGCCGATTTAGGCCGGCGCCCTTGTCTGAAAGGCGCCTGAAACCTAAAGAAAGGCCTCAAGAAACAAAAAGCAACAGAAAGAGAGAAAGAACCCAAGAGCATGAAAAGCGCATGCAACAACTAGACGACGAGTGGCCCGAAAGCATTTTTCATCACGTAGGAAGTCAGAGTGCGAGTTATCTGGTAAGTGTGCAGTGTGAAGTGTTAAGTCGAGTGAGTTGAGGTAGTGTGTGGGTTTCTGTGCGTGTATCTATGTCCGTGTGTATATGAGTCTGCGTATTGTGTGTGTTCGTGTAAGTTGAGGCAGTGTGTGGGTGTCTGTGTGTGATGCGGCCTCCCAAACCCCCAACCGGCGGCCAAGCGGTGACAGCCCAGCTCATCGTCATGAGCATTTGAGCTGCTGGTAAGGGGAGAAGCAGCGTGCACGGCGCCAGGAAAAGCTCACGGAAAAAAAACGAACCGGAATGAGGACAGAAAAGTGCCGAGGCAGGTACGCCAGAAGTGTCTCGAAGCAGTGACCTGTCAGAGGAGATGAACGAAGTAGCGCGCAGGCCTCCCAAACCCCCACCGGCGGCCAAGCGGTGACAGCCCAGCTCATCGTCATGAGCATGTGAGCTGCTGGTAAGGGGAGAAGCAGCGCGCACGGCTGTAGGGAATCTCACTGAAAAAACCGAGCTGGAATGAACACAGAAAATGCTGAGGCAGCCACGCCAGAAGCGTCTCGAAGCAATGACCTGTCAGAGGAGATGCGTCCATCGATATAATATATCTTCCGGGCAAAAACGTTTACTTCACTCCAGGACACAGCTTTTCTAGGATGTAGTTAACCAACCAGTATGCTTGTCATTGATTAAGTGACTGTCTCAAAGAAAAACGCGACGAAGTAGCGTGAGGTGACGCACAGCAGGCACTGTAGATGTTTTAGCGTACTCTCGCTGTTCTGCTCGCGACTAGTCTTTGTACACAGAAAAGATAGTGTTGTGCTTCCGCAGAACGACGTCCACACAGAATTTATCAGGAAGAAGTCACGGTATGAGACACGCAGTTGGTTGGGTCTAGCGCGTCCACAGGAAGCAGATCTGGATGGTGTAGGCATCTGTGAAGTTCCGGCTGTTGTTCCTAACAAAGTCGCCAGTTCTCATCTTCCAGCTCCCCAGCTACTCCGCGTACTAAAGTTGTACTACAAAGT